GAGGAAACTGGTTTGTATTTATGTTTCATATGGAAAGCCATCCAAACACTCATGCAGTCAGCCTGCTCATTGGGATTTGAACACGAGTCAGACTAACAATATTCAGCTTTCTTATTCACTTGGTCGCTGTGGGCTACTTAGAAAAACTACAAGAAGTAGGTATGAAATGTCAAAATTTGTATTTCAGCTTTTTATCAGAATTTGTATCTTTATCTCGTACTCTTGCAGGGCAGTTTAAAATATTTTACTTACTTAAGCATTTTTAAAAAATTTAATTGATGACTATTTAATTATAGAGATATAAAATATAAAAAGAACTGCCATTTTATTCATTTAAACTTTTATATAATAAATTATGAAAAGCAAAATAACATGATTTCTTAAACAATTCAAAATTAATTTTTAAGATGGTTTTAATATATAAATACCAAAGGAAGATTCATTAGACAAAATTATTTCTTTCACAGTTGAAAAAAAAAAGTTTTTTTAATCTTATATTTTATTCACAGACTTCATTGTTGAATTGATAAACAATTTAATTGCACTAAACTGTCACATATCTGTAACTTGATAAACATTTAGCACAAATTCAGTATGTATTTTAAAGTACTTCACATTTTCTGTTTCTTTCAGATTTAAAAAAAAAAAACTGTGTTTAAAAATTGTAAGTTTATATTTAATACAGTAGATAATAAACTGAAACCATAAAAACAAAACATTCAAAAAGGTGACATATTTTTTCCTTTAAATAAGAACAAATAAATATTGTTGAATGTAAGGCTATTTCACAAAATACTTTATATGTAAATGTACTGTACATTATTTACATAAATAATATCATTAGTGATATCTACCACATTCAAAGGCCACCAATATTATAAATCGAGTCGTTTATTAACAGTACCAACATCGTTATACTTAGAAAATAGATCTGGTTAATTTTAACACCATTAAATGCTACAATGTATTGCATGTTACAAATATAGATTACTGATTTCAATGAAAGTTAAAATTTACTGTATTACCATGATCGGTATTAGTGATAGTACTTTGATCCAGTATTTATGGTGTCACATACACTAAATGTGTACTCATAATTAAACAAGTTAATAATCATTACTGAATATCCAGTAATATAATTTCATCACTGTATATAACAGGTAACAACTGCTAATGCTTAATTGAAACTTTCTAAATATTTTATGAAATTTATCTCCATTAGCTAAAATATTTTACAAAATATACTTGACAAAACATTCACTTCCCAGTGGCGAAAAAATTAACATACACACATATTAATAATCCTTAGAGAAAACCCTTTAACCAGGTATATATTTCATAGCAGGCATCCTTTGAATGTTTTTGTAAGGTAAACATTCAACTTGATTTGAAAAACATATTACTTTTTAAAAAATTTCCTTTCCTCTCCTATCTTGATATATATTCTACAACAGGGATTTTCAACCAAGGGGGCTTCAGAGGGAAGAACATGGTCAGCCTTTTATTTATATGTTAAGTATTTAGTTTTAGTTCATGAATATCAAAATCTACGTTTGTTCAAGTTTTGGCACTTATCAACATTTTCTACACTTTTGTTGTTTAATTTATAAAACAAGTTGAAACATAGTCTGAATCTAAATAAATGTATATGCATTTTTCAAGAGCTGCATAGGTTGTTTTATTATTTTTAACACATCTATGTTATAGTATTTATTATAATTAAAACCATGCCTTTCAGATACTTTTATAATTGATGAATCAAAGTAATATCCTTTTAATCTTCATTCAAAAACACATTACCATCATAAATATTCATCTAAAATGTGTACATAGGAAATATTTTTGTGTTTTTTGTGAAAGGGAAGGCCATAAAGTATTGTACTTCCTTTGTATTCTCAGATTAGTCATGCTGCTACTGTAACATTTATGTTCTCAAAACCTGTACACTGTATTATCATTTTCCAGGTTACAACTTTAGTTTGACTAAAAAGGAAAATAAATTCACAAATGTTTTATTGTACAGAACTTATAAGTTCACAAAATGTTGAGTAGATACTAAAAATTAAGAAGAGTTGAAAACAGTAAAAATCATACTATGCTACCAACTCCAGAAACCACCTGTTGGTGTTTAATGATCTTTTGCTCATGTTGGTTCATAAAGACTGTACAAGTTTCACAAAGATTTAAGAATATTTGCATAGGCAGTTATATTCCTGTACTAGCTAATTCTGTTTCAAAGTCATCAGACATCATGTCAGTAAGAACTGCATGTTACAATTCAGAAATATTCAAGAAACACAATTAGATGCTTATCATGTTTCAAAATTAGCAAAGCTTTTCAATAAAAAAGAAGTATTTTAAGTAAATTGACAAAAGTATCTTAGTTCAACAATAATGCTTACTTACACAAATAAAGAAATAGCGCTACCGTTCTGTTACCAGGATCAGGTTCAGAAATGTATGTATGTGTTTATGTATACATGTATGTGTTCATAGTATGCATAAGTACAAATGTATATGTGCATACAAATACACATATAAGCACATGCATACCAACACATGTTCATACATTTCTGAATCCAGTCCCCCCCCAATAACAGAATAGTACAAAATAACTGTTAAACTGTTACTGTTTTTGCTAAGTATCCGAGGAAGCATATTCCTTGGATGTACAAATTGTAAACTTTTCTGTACATTTTAAAGCTAATAAATACTTTTCCTTCAGATTTTCAATTTTCCTTTTTTGGTTATAGTTAAAAAACTGATTTTAATATCAAAGAACTGAAAATAAAAGAAGCGACATACTGCTGTTTACAAGTAATGTAAAAATAAAGCAGTACTTTGAAAATACACAACTATGGATTTTTACTTGACTCATAATCTATACAATCTCCTCATGGTAATGGTAAAAAGCATGGGAAAAAAAAAAAAAAAACGAGGGAAATGAGACTGTAAGCTGTCAAACTATTGGGGTTATAGAAAAGTATAATTAGTTTTTTGCTATTGCGTGAGCCTTCAGCCCACTTCAGGATCAATATAGGGATCAGACCTCACTACTGCATCACATAACAACTAATTCGTTGGAAATTTGGATCATTAGATATGTTTTGTACTTCCTAATGTAAATCACAGTACAGATATTTATAGGGCATTCAGTACAATTTCAGGTGCATTATGAATGCAGGTGCTACCAGGATAAAAAACATTTATCTTTTCTGCTATGCTGATGACCACTACACATTTCAAGAGTAATATCAACATGGCAGTTACAGATATGGCACTGTTTGACTTTTGTTTTTACTTATCAGAGATTAGCAAATAAGGCATAGTTTCAAATTATTATACACACAATGTGATTTCAAAAAATTTAATTAGTAATTATTAAAAAAACACACAAATTCTCTTTCAAATGACAATTATGTTTCAAAAGCAAAACAACGTGAGTGAATTATTAATTCCGAGTCTCAGTTTGGCCACACTTGATCTGTACATAAAGTATATGGCATATAATTATAAAAAAATAACTTCTAAGAAACGGTATATTCTTAATTCGATTTTTGAAGTTTTCAAAAAACAACACTTTTTCACTTTCATACAATATATAAATTGCTATTTCAGTGTCAATGAAGTATCAGACTTTCAATACTCAGCTACATAAATTTCTATCCATAAAAATTGTTTTCTTACTTTTTCATCAGCAACTAATAACAGATTTCATTTTAGATATAAAAAATGCACTTAGATATATATGTTCTGCTTTACCACTCAGAAATAATACTTAAGTGAATTTTATGGCATGGGCTATACTTTAACATCATTTTGAGTTTATTAACTTTCTTTAGAATATGGTCACTTTTATCTGGTTGCATGTGTAGTCCCCTTTTATTTTTTATTATCTCTGTCTTTAAAATAAAATGAACTCGCATTCTCTACATTGATTATATATTCTTTATGAAAATGAATATTTAGACAAAATAATGCATAAGACAATTAACATTATATAATATTACAGAACTAATTCTAGAATGGCTACTATGTGGAAGGCTATCAAATACTGCATTTTTAAAGTAAATAATAGAAGCATATTTCTATCGTAGTTATATGAGAACTGAATAATATGAGATTATAGTATAGTTAGTTATACGAGAATATCTTAAATAATATTTTCACAAGCCTACACATAATGTTTCAATATTCGGGTTTTCAAAGCAGAAAAAGTTGTAAAATAATACACATCCAGAAATAAATGTCAAAAATAGCTAGTTATCTGATACATATGTAGATCATATGAGCAGGAATGTGATATACTAATAGATATATAAAATCGGATCGAAAAATAACTGCCCTGCGTTTTCGCAATAGACGCACATTACTCGACTTTTAATGCTAATTTAGCAATATAACAGCTCAAAATTAGCAATCAGATACAAAACAAATATAAACACATCTTAATCCCGTTTTTCCCCATGTATTTTCCTTTTCTCCTTAGCACCTATTCCCCACATGATATTTACTTCCGTTGCATAATGATATGTCGCCCATATCCTTAAAGAAGCCAAATGGCGCAACCAAGGCTGTTCCGTGGCATAATGATATGTCGCCCATATCCTTAAAGAAGCCAAGTTGGCGCAGCCAAGGCTGTTCTCCGAACCTTATCCACTTTGAGATTAAACTTAGAGTTTAGGTACTAGTTCTTTATTCCTCTGTGTTTCCTTTTAGAATTTACTTTATTAATTTTACTCATTGTTTAAAAGTAAAACTTTAAAACCAAATTTATTTAATTTTATTTAAAAATTAAAAACAGATCTAAAAGTTGTTCATTGCTCAAACAGTTGTAACTGAGTAGTTTTTCTCACTGTATTTTTGTGCTTACATCGGTCTACCACCCACGGAGTATACCTACCAACAAATGATTGTTATCGGAAAAAACCAAGGAGGAAAAAACACTGCAACTATAATGTTCGTAAACATCTGCTTCGTCGGGGAACGAGAGTAATCGTCTTACCTGTAACCGCATCGCCATTTTTATTGTGTTTTTGCAGCGTAAAATTGACAGTGATCAATGGAATAATATTGTTTTAAGATGATCGGACATCCGTATGTAATGGGCATGTTTGCCCAGCAGCAAGCGTTTGCTGCTGCTCAGCTTGCCCATATGCAAATCCAACAGCAACAATTACAACAACAACAGCAGCAACCTGAAGTTTTATCAGAGGAAAAGCTTCAAGAAAAAGCTAGAAAATGGCAGCAACACCAAAGCAAAAGATACGCAGAAAAACGAAAATTCGGGTTTGTAGATGCACAGAAAGAGGAAATGCCACCCGAGCATATCAGAAAAATCATTCGTGATCATGGAGACATGAGCAGCCGAAAGTATCGTCACGATAAACGAGTTTATTTAGGTGCCTTAAAGTATATGCCTCACGCAGTGTTAAAGCTAATGGAAAATATGCCTATGCCATGGGAGCAAATAAGAGATGTGAATGTACTGTACCATATTACTGGAGCTATAACGTTTGTAAATGAAATACCATGGGTGATCGAACCGGTGTATATTGCACAGTGGGGTACTATGTGGATTATGATGCGGAGAGAAAAAAGAGATCGTCGACATTTTAAGCGAATGAGATTTCCTCCTTTTGATGATGAAGAACCACCTCTTGATTATGCAGATAATATACTCGATGTAGAGCCTCTTGAGGCCATTCAAATGGAACTAGATTCTGAAGAAGATGCTGAAGTATGTAGATGGTTGTATGATCATAAGCCGTTATTAGATACGAAACATGTAAATGGCTCAACTTACCGCAAGTGGAATCTATCTTTGCCACAACTAGCAACATTATATCGTCTAGCCAACCAGTTGCTGACTGATTTAGTTGATGATAATTACTTCTACCTTTTTGATTTAAAGTCTTTTTTCACTGCAAAAGCTCTTAATATGTCTATTCCCGGTGGCCCAAAATTTGAGCCGCTAATAAAGGATGCAAATCCTGCTGATGAAGATTGGAATGAATTTAACGACATAAACAAGATAATAATTAGACAGCCTATTCGTACTGAATACAGAATTGCTTTCCCTTACCTGTACAATAATTTGCCACATTATGTTCATCTATCTTGGTATCATACTCCAAATGTTGTTTTTATAAAAACAGAAGATCCAGACTTGCCAGCCTTTTATTTTGACCCATTGATAAATCCAATATCTCATCGACATACAGTTAAAGGAGCAGAACCTCTGCCAGATGATGATGAAGAATTTGAACTTCCTGAGTATGTTCAGCCATTTCTTCAAGACTGTCCATTATATACAGATAATACTGCAAATGGTATTGCACTTCTTTGGGCACCTCGCCCATTCAACTTACGCTCTGGAAGAACAAGAAGAGCTATTGATGTACCTCTTGTTAAATCTTGGTATCGTGAACACTGTCCTCCGGGAATGCCAGTAAAAGTTCGAGTTTCTTATCAGAAACTTTTAAAGTATTATGTGTTAAATGCTTTGAAACATCGACCTCCAAAACCTCAGAAAAAACGTTATTTGTTTCGTTCTTTCAAATCTACTAAATTTTTCCAAACTACTACATTGGATTGGGTTGAAGTTGGTCTTCATGTTTGTCGTCAAGGGTACAATATGTTAAACTTACTCATACATCGTAAGAACTTAAATTATTTACATTTGGATTATAATTTCAATTTGAAACCTGTGAAGACTTTGACTACTAAAGAAAGGAAAAAGTCAAGGTTTGGAAATGCATTTCATTTATGCAGGGAAATTCTCCGACTTACTAAACTTGTTGTTGACAGCCATGTCCAATATCGTTTGAACAATGTTGATGCATTTCAGCTGGCAGATGGTTTACAATATATATTTGCTCATGTTGGTCAATTAACTGGGATGTATCGATATAAATATAAATTGATGCGACAGATTCGTATGTGCAAAGATTTGAAGCATTTGATATATTACAGATTTAATACTGGACCAATTGGAAAAGGACCAGGTTGTGGATTTTGGGCTCCAGGTTGGAGAGTGTGGCTGTTTTTCATGCGGGGTGTAACACCACTTCTGGAACGTTGGTTAGGAAACCTGCTGTCTAGGCAATTTGAAGGAAGGCATTCTAAAGGTGTTGCAAAGACGGTGACAAAACAGCGAGTTGAGAGTCATTTTGATTTGGAGTTGCGGGCATCTGTTATGCATGATATCTTGGATATGATGCCTGAAGGTATGAAACAAAACAAAGCTCGTACCATATTACAGCATTTAAGTGAAGCTTGGCGGTGTTGGAAAGCTAATATTCCATGGAAAGTGCCCGGTCTTCCAACACCGATAGAAAACATGATTTTGCGTTATGTAAAGATGAAAGCTGATTGGTGGACAAATACTGCACATTACAACAGAGAACGCATACGCCGTGGGGCAACTGTTGACAAAACAGTATGCAAAAAGAATCTTGGAAGACTTACTCGTTTGTATCTGAAAGCTGAACAAGAAAGGCAACATAATTATTTAAAAGATGGTCCCTATATTAGTGCTGAAGAAGCTGTTGCTATTTATACAACAACTGTGCACTGGCTTGAAAGTCGTAGATTTTCTCCCATTCCATTTCCACCATTATCATACAAGCATGACACTAAATTGCTGATACTTGCACTTGAAAGATTAAAGGAAGCATACAGCGTAAAGAGCAGACTAAATCAGTCTCAGCGTGAAGAACTGGGTTTAATTGAACAAGCTTATGATAATCCTCATGAAGCATTATCTCGCATTAAGCGTCATCTTCTGACTCATCGACAGTTTAAAGAAGTGGGTATTGAATTTATGGATTTGTACAGCCATTTAATTCCTGTTTATGATGTAGAACCCTTAGAAAAGATAACTGATGCATATTTAGATCAGTATCTGTGGTATGAAGCTGATAAGCGTCGCTTGTTTCCACCGTGGATAAAACCAGCTGATTCTGAACCACCACCTCTCTTAGTATATAAGTGGTGTCAAGGTATTAATAACTTGCAAGATGTGTGGGATACTTCAGAAGGAGAATGCTGTGTAATGTTAGAATCACGTTATGAAAAAATGTATGAAAAGATAGACTTGACTCTTTTGAACAGGTTGTTGCGATTGATCGTGGACCACAATATTGCTGATTACATGACTGCAAAAAGTAATGTAGTTATTAATTATAAAGATATGAATCATACAAATTCATACGGTATTATTAGAGGACTTCAGTTTGCATCTTTTATTGTTCAGTATTATGGGCTTGTGCTTGATTTATTAGTTCTTGGTCTGCAGAGAGCTAGTGAGATGGCTGGGCCACCTCAAATGCCAAATGACTTTTTGACATATAAAGATGTTGCTACTGAAACTGCGCATCCAATACGTTTATATTCTCGTTACATTGAAAGAATGCATATTTTTTTCCGTTTTACAGCTGAGGAAGCTCGAGATTTGATTCAGAGATATTTAACGCAACATCCAGATCCCAATAATGAAAATATTGTTGGGTACAATAATAAGAAATGCTGGCCTCGAGATGCTAGAATGAGACTTATGAAGCATGATGTAAATCTTGGTCGGGCTGTATTTTGGGACATCAAGAACAGATTACCTCGTTCTGTAACAACTGTTCAGTGGGAAAGTAGTTTTGTTTCAGTGTACAGTAAAGACAATCCTAATCTGCTTTTCAATATGAGTGGATTTGAATGTAGAATTCTGCCAAAATGCCGTATGACTCATGAGGAATTTACTCACAAAGATGGAGTTTGGAATTTGCAAAATGAAGTAACGAAGGAGAGAACTGCCCAGTGTTTCTTAAGAGTTGATGATGAATCAATGCAACGATTTCATAATAGAGTGAGACAAATTTTGATGGCTTCTGGATCAACAACATTCACCAAAATAGTAAATAAGTGGAATACTGCTTTGATTGGTTTGATGACATATTTCAGAGAAGCTGTTGTAAATACCCAAGAACTATTGGATCTATTAGTGAAATGTGAAAATAAGATTCAGACTCGTATTAAGATAGGATTAAATTCTAAAATGCCTAGTCGATTTCCTCCGGTTGTGTTTTATACACCAAAAGAACTTGGAGGTCTTGGAATGTTGTCGATGGGACATGTTTTGATTCCACAGTCTGATCTCAGGTGGTCAAAACAAACTGATGTTGGAATTACTCATTTTAGGTCTGGTATGAGCCATGATGAAGACCAAGTTATTCCAAACTTGTATCGCTATATTCAGCCATGGGAAAGTGAATTCATTGATTCTCAAAGAGTTTGGGCTGAATATGCTCTTAAGAGACAAGAAGCATTAGCTCAGAACAGACGTTTAACTCTAGAGGATTTAGAAGATAGTTGGGACCGTGGTATTCCTAGAATAAATACTTTGTTCCAGAAAGATAGACATACACTTGCATATGATAAAGGTTGGAGAGTTCGCACAGATTTCAAGCAGTACCAGGTTTTAAAACAAAATCCATTTTGGTGGACACATCAACGCCATGATGGTAAGTTGTGGAATTTGAACAATTATCGTACTGACATGATTCAAGCCTTAGGTGGTGTGGAGGGTATACTGGAACACACGCTTTTTAAAGGAACTTATTTCCCAACCTGGGAAGGACTGTTTTGGGAAAAAGCTAGTGGTTTTGAAGAATCAATGAAGTATAAAAAGTTAACTAATGCTCAGAGATCGGGATTAAACCAGATCCCAAATCGTCGATTCACCTTATGGTGGTCGCCTACAATTAACAGAGCAAACGTATATGTAGGCTTTCAGGTTCAACTTGATCTAACTGGTATTTTTATGCATGGAAAAATTCCTACTTTGAAGATTTCTTTAATTCAGATATTTAGAGCTCACTTATGGCAAAAAATACATGAAAGCATTGTCATGGATCTCTGCCAAGTGTTTGATCAAGAACTGGATGCTCTTGAAATTGAAACTGTTCAAAAAGAAACTATCCATCCTAGAAAATCATATAAAATGAATAGTTCTTGTGCTGATATCTTACTTTTTGCTGCGTATAAATGGAGCTGTTCAAGACCATCGTTGTTAGCTGATTCAAAAGATACAATGGATGTTACAACTACTCAAAAGTACTGGATTGATGTTCAGCTGAGATGGGGTGATTATGACTCGCATGATATTGAGAGATATGCTCGTGCTAAATTCCTTGATTACACTACTGACAACATGAGTATTTATCCATCTCCAACTGGTGTGCTAATAGCAGTTGATCTAGCATATAATCTTCATAGTGCTTATGGAAATTGGTTCCCAGGAGATAAACCTTTAATACAGCAAGCTATGGCAAAGATAATGAAGGCAAATCCTGCTTTGTATGTATTGAGAGAAAGAATCCGTAAAGGCTTGCAGCTCTATTCGTCAGAGCCAACTGAACCATATTTATCATCTCAGAACTATGGTGAATTATTTTCAAATCAAATTATTTGGTTTGTGGATGATACCAATGTGTATCGTGTTACCATACATAAAACCTTTGAAGGTAATTTGACCACAAAGCCAATTAATGGTGCGATTTTCATTTTCAATCCTCGTACAGGACAGTTATTTTTGAAGATAATTCATACTTCTGTGTGGGCTGGACAAAAACGTCTGGGACAGTTAGCAAAATGGAAAACTGCTGAAGAAGTTGCTGCTTTAATTCGATCTCTTCCTGTTGAAGAACAACCGAAACAGATTATTGTGACCAGAAAAGGAATGTTGGACCCACTGGAAGTCCATTTACTTGATTTCCCTAATATTGTTATTAAAGGTAGTGAGTTGCAATTACCATTTCAAGCATGCTTGAAAGTAGAAAAGTTTGGAGATTTAATTTTGAAAGCTACTGAACCTCAAATGGTTCTTTTCAATTTGTATGATGATTGGCTGAAAACAATATCATCATACACTGCATTTTCTCGTTTAATTTTGATTCTTCGAGCACTTCATGTAAATAATGAGAGAACCAAAGTGATACTGAAGCCAGATAAAACCACAGTAACTGAACTGCACCATATCTGGCCATCACTTTCTGATGAAGAATGGATCAAAGTTGAAGTCCAGCTCAAAGATCTTATCCTTGCTGATTATGGTAAAAAGAATAATGTAAATGTAGCTTCTCTCACACAATCAGAAATTAGAGATATTATTCTTGGAATGGAAATTTCAGCACCTTCAGCCCAACGGCAGCAAATTGCAGAAATTGAAAAACAAACAAAAGAGCAAACGCAGTTGACAGCCACAACAACAAGAACAATAAATAAGCATGGTGATGAAATAATTACATCCACTACCAGTAATTATGAAAAAGATACTTTTGCTTCCAAAACCGAATGGCGAGTGCGTGCTATATCAGCTACTAATCTTCATTTGCGAACCAATCACATTTATGTTTCATCAGATGATATTAAAGAAACTGGATATACTTACATTTTGCCTAAAAATATTCTAAAGAAATTCATCATTGTATCTGATTTACGTACTCAAATAGCCGGTTACCTTTATGGTGTTAGTCCTTCAGATCAGCCACAGGTGAAAGAAATCCGCTGTATTGTCATGCCACCTCAGTGGGGGACACATCAGATGGTACATTTACCAAATATTCTTCCTAATCATGAGTATCTGCAAGAAATGGAGCCACTAGGATGGATTCACACTCAACCCAATGAACTTCCCCAGCTTTCACCCCAGGATGTCACAACACATGCTAATATTATGAATGATAACCCATCTTGGGATGGAGAAAAGACTATTGTTATAACTTGCAGTTTTACTCCTGGTTCATGCTCCCTTACTGCCTATAAATTAACCCCAAGTGGTTACGATTGGGGTCGACAAAATACTGACAGAGGTAACAATCCTAAGGGTTATTTACCTTCTCATTATGAAAGAGTGCAGATGCTACTGACTCATAGGTTTTTGGGATTTTTCATGGTTCCTGCCCAAGGTTCGTGGAATTATAATTTCATGGGTGTCCGTCACGATGCTGCTATGAAGTACGATTTGCAGTTGGCAAATCCTAAAGAATTTTATCATGAACTGCATCGGCCATCTCATTTCCTGAATTTTAGCAATATAGAAGATAGTGAAGGTGTTGGAGCAGACCGTGAAGATCATTTCTCATAAACTTCTCAGCCATTCCACCACTTAATTATCTGTAAAATAGGAAACGTTTCACTGTCAAATAATGTATTATTAAGCTGTTTCATCTTTTGAATTATTTTGTGAATAGAAAGTTCTGCAGAAAATTTGTGGATCCAGACAAGTTAGTCTTTTGACCAATTTTGTCTTAAAATACTTTTTTCCCCCCCTTACAAATTGGAACTATGAAAATATGTTTAAACATAATATTAATATGTGACTAAAACTTGTATTTTTGGAGTTTATTTTGCATTGTATGATGTTCTTACAATGATATGTTTGAAAGATTTATTTAAAAGTAGAATTTGTAAGGATTTTGTTTTCAAATACACGTTCAAAAATAAATTCTTATTTTTCAGGAAATTGTATTGCATTTTATAATTGAAATAAAATATTTTAAATCTTATTTACCAGCCTTTTTAATACTAATTAACTTGAATAGGCACCTAAATTTTAAAAAATAGTATCTTCAGATTATTCTAGTAAATTCAGTCATGTAATTTCATTTGTAGTTAGTTACCTGTAGTGACGTTTTAAAATAGTGAAAATATATAATTTATGTTATCTGTTGTTATAACACTTATTTTATGAGCCATTCAGATTTTTAAGAGGTAAAGGTTTTATTGCTGAAAGATGTAGTTAATTTCAGATGTGCTCAGGTAGGAAATTTTGTAAAATTACAGGCATGTTCTTATTTTCAGAAAATGTACATTAATTTTTAGTCTCTCATGTAATTTCAAACGATATAATATTTTAGTTGTGTTAACTGAATTCACTTGATGATTCGTACGAAATTCATTTGCAAAATAGGTAAGTTTAAGCAAATAGTAAAAAGCGCCTATTAAATTATCCATACTGATTTATTACTTATTATGTTAGAAAGTTTCATTAATCTAAGTAGTGATGATACTCTTAAAAAAGTAAACCCATATTCTGAGATAGTTATAATAATATCTGAGATAGATATTTAAGTTCCGTAATGCAAATGCAAAAAAAGAATATTAAAAGATGACTGAGTGTAAATGCAACTTACATGTTTACTTAATTTGAAATGAAAATTGATTGGAGATCAAGTTCATCCTATATTGTCTGTTACTTTAGAATAGGTAATTCAAAGCCATAGCAATCCTTACTTCATTCAAGATGATAATATCATCAGTGCAGAGAGGGGATTTTAGAAAATTAGAGAAAAGCCATATTTTTGAGCAGTTGTTGCCATGGTTTCAAGGCCAGCCAGAATGTGACCATTCTAGGAAAATTAATCGGTTAATCTTTGGATGATGGTAACTCTGTGAAAATTTGGCGACCAACCTTGCTACAGCAACCTGCTAGTTTTTGTTTGGATGCCATTTTGTTTTCACGAAGTAAAGGCATGTTTTTTTTTTTTTTTTTTTTTTTTTTTTTTTTTTTTTTTTTTTTTTTTTACTCAGCATTTCTAACAATCTGCTAGCTGAATTATGCTTATGCTAGAACTTTTATTCCATAAATCTTCGTCATGATTTTATTCCATAATCGAAGATTAGGTGCGAAATTGGGACAAAGTGCAGAATCGCCCACTGCTTGCCGCGTTTTTACGAATTGCACATACACGGTATCATCCATGTACACGTCGACCTATTTTCACTTTAAAAAACATCCCAGAATTGCACAAAAATGGCATTGCACACACTCTTGACTATATCCATGTACACTGCTAAAGTCCTAGCTAGTAACCTTTATCGCCTTACCAAAATGTCGCCAAACTATCTATTACCATATTTCAAAGAGTAGCCAGTTAATCAAATTGTGGTATCTAGAAGCATAATGATTCGTCGGGCAACCATGCTTATAACAATCCTTCAAACGTCACCATTTTTTAATACATTCTTTTGTTGTATTCCAACAGCTTTTTTTAACAAATTGTAATATTATATGCATTAAACTTTCAGAATGTAGAATTTGCCAGCAATGGAAGAAACTGCAGTAATATTTCTATGCGCAGGAACACATAATTTAGGCATAAAATATCGAAAGGGAACAACAAGGGGATGTGCTTGGTATGTTGCCAGAGTTTGTGCGATGCAGTATCTGTGCAGTGCTGTAATGTTGTTTTAAGAATAGACAGATCACTGTGTAATTGAAAGAAAGAATAACACAAAAAGATTTAGAGAAAAATGGGTTTTATTTTTAATGTATTGCATAATACATATTTAATAATTAAAATTTGGTATTTTAAATTACTAAAGTATGTTTCCTTTTCATATGTTCATAATGTCTGCCAATAATTTACAATAAATATTGATACAGTGGCTCACAAAAGTGATCGGGAATTTTGAATCTCTTTAATTCTTAAGGAATATAAAAACTAAAATAAAACAAACAGAAAGGCTTTTATTTTGATTATATACAAGTTCAGCATCTTTTTATAGTAAATACATTTTTGAAAAGATGAAAATTAAATTTAAAAATCAATATCATTTGTTTAATGACTCTGCATTCTTATCAATCTGTTCACTGTCGTTATGTCGCGAATTTCAATTATTAATATGTGTTTCAAGTCATTATTATTCTAATATTTTTATTTGTATTCATGTGTATTTTAATCTGGAAAAGAGTATTCTTAGGCTCTTAAGGTGTTGTTCTTAAGGTGGCTTTAACTTGTTGTTCTTGAGTAGGAATTGTAACTAAGGCGGGAAACAGTTGCGGGAGCCATCGGGTTTATGGCCTTTTTACCAAACAATGGAGGCGGTAGGGTTAGGTGTGTCGCCACTTTTAACTCTAATGGCGTGTGAAACGGAAATCGCTTTCCCGTCGCTTTGTTAAGGTTGCAGTTTTCTTACTTCAAGACAGTGGGTGGTTAAACTAACCTTGGGTAATTGGATTCTCGTGGAGCTTATTTTCCGCTTGTTAGTTGGGGGGTCTACTTTTTCTCACGTTATGTGTGCAGATGTTTTTCGGATTGCATTGTCAGATTTTCTGGTGTTTGATTCGTCATGGGTGTGTCATTTTCTCAATTTAGATAACATAAAATTCCGGGATTGGTAAGATTTAATTTTATGATTTTTTTGAAAGCCTATGAACTCACAGAGGCGGAGAAACCGAGATTTCCTGGGTGCTTGCACCAGGCTAGAGATCATTCTGATTCAGATTTTTGGAGCGAAAAGGAAAAGGAGAAGCAGAAAGTTTTGCGGGGCTCCCCCCTTTGCTGGAGCGAACCGACTTGTACAAGCGGGCTGCGGTGATGGTTGTAGCGGAGTCTGATTTGAGTGAATTTTGAGCAGCCGCGATGTGAAAGAAAAAAAAAGCGAACGAGGGGCGCTTTTTTGTCCTGCTGCCTGGCCTTGCGGTGCGGCCGGTTGCCGAGGCAAGAGGACTTGGGTACCGTTTTTCTTTGCTCTAGAGAATTCATTTTTTTCTGCGGGATGTTTAAAAGTTTTGTGCGAGATGCAAGGAACATTTTTTCTTGCGTGATGTATGGAGAAATGGTGCGCGAGCTGCAAAGAGCATTTTTACTGAGAGCTGATTGAGATGTATAGAGAAAAATTAGCACAGATTTTCTCTCTTCACCTGAATCGCCGGTTAATCTCCAAGAGCCTTTTTCCGAAACATTCAGCATAAATGTTGCCTTGCCACTTCGATGATGCACGTGATTGTGCTAAAAACTGGTGTGTATTCAGCTACCTGTTATTCAATTGAAATAAAGAGCCTTCTGAATTGGACTATTGGTTCCCACCTAATGGACAGATAAAAGATCCTTTTAAATTGGAATAAATGTTAATAATGATTTATCTACCTGTATATTGTTATTGCTTATATAAATTAAATATTACAGTTAGAAAAATTGAGAAGTTATTTATAATTTCAAGTGAATGCCAGTTTTGGGAGGATTAAAATTTGTTTCACCTACTGAATTTTGTGAGCTAGAAAAACATTACTTTCTAATAAGAACCTGTTATTTGGAGGATTAAATTTTGTTACACCTACTTAATTTGAAAAAAATAATGTTAATCTTAATTAATGTAAGCTGTAATTTGGTGTAGGTGATGTGTTATTTTGGCTTAGAAAAATATGTGGTAGGATACTGATCAGTTATCCATTATTTAATTATATAAAATAGTCAAGAATTTAATAAATGTGTGTTTAAAATTTAATTGCATTTGTGTATTTATGTTGTGTATATTTTACTATGGTCTGTCATGTCCCCTGCATTTGTTTGAGCCGGAAGGCTTTTAAGAAACATGGAGTAATTAATTAATTTGGGGTTATTGATTTTCCTTGGCATAGGTTACTCACAACGCAAACCTAAAAGTCAAATTGTACTACCACTATACGATTGATTGATAGATATGATATATGAATGTTTATAAGAATGTCGATATGATATATGAATATTATGAATTAGATTTTGAATGTGAATTATTTGATATTTGTTTTTTTTTTTTTTTTTTGTTAATTTTGTCCGGCACCATGAATCAAAGTTTAAAGTTAAAAGTATTAAAAACAAAAATTTTCAGATTTAACACTATTTAATCACATCATATGCCCACAGCCCTGGATATTTCGTCGCGAAAATTTAATCTTTACTTCGCTATGATTAGTGCCATATGCCAAAGTGCCTATTAATCTGTAAAATCTTTCCTTTCCGCTTTTTGCTTTAGTGTCGTATTTATGTGTTATAGAATTAAAAAAAAAAAAAAAAGGCTAACCTTTGGAATATGGTAACAGGTAGTTTGGCGACATTTTGGTAAGGCGATAAAAGTTACTAGCTAGGACTTTAGCAGTGTACATGGATAAAGTCAAGAGTGTGCGCAATGCCATTTTTGCGCAATTCTGGGATGTTTTTTTAAGTGAAAATAGGTCGATGTGTACATGATTACCGTGTATGTGCAATTCTTAAAAATGCGGCAAGCAGTTTGCGATTCTGCACTTTTTCTCAATTTTGCACCTAATCTTCATCATGATTAAGCACTTTCTTTCCGTAAGGCCCCGTTCAGTCGAGGGCGTAAAGGGCAGAAGTGGTTAAAGCCGAGCTGCGTTGCCAAGGCAACCAGTCTGTGCTACATCACATAATCTGGTTTAAGGCTCGTGGCACAAGGTTCCAAGTTTTCAACTTTATGCCGAGTTTGGGATAAGCGTCGACCAATCAGAGCGAAGGTAAAACAAAGCGGCTTTCTTTAGACAATTTCGCTGTCACATTGAAGCCGACATTTTTTTTAAAGTGGAGCACATCGTATCCGAAAAAAATAATGAGTTGATCTCCCAAGAAATCTACGATGATGACATGCATTTTTTAATGAGTTTTAGAATTTATATTGAAAAATATAAATGAAACTCATAAAGCGAAAGTTAAGCTCAGGATTATGCATGCTGTGTATGATCCTGTA